AGTCTACCTTGTATACACTGAAGGTATAAATAATCTATTAGTTACTTGAATGTGGATATTAAAATCAACAGTGCCCTTTCTTATATATTTTACTGTAATGCTGAGTTTAACGCATTTGAGAAAGTTGTATTAGTGTTGTTCACATTAACAAACTTTAAATGCTCCCTAGTTCTGTGTTTTATTTAGAATGCTCCTATAAGAGTTTATCTTATTGCCCTTGTAGCCTGTTCTTGATGCGAGTAAACTTGGTGCTCAGCTAATAACCAACACTAGAGAATTTAGGTTCCTGTTCCCTTGAAAACCAGGTAGCTTAATGTAGCCATAGGTTATATTTATTTTTGTGAAGTCTGTAGAAAGTGAGAATGAATCAGCAAGATACTTTTATGAAAGCCCTGTGAAGTGCTTCCTGTTGACTGGATAAATGATATAAATGTAATTTTTTAGAAGCAGAGCACCTGGGATCATGGCCTGGCAAGAGAGTGAAACCAACAACAGCTCCATCAATGACAAGCAAGAACAGCACTGCAGTCGTGTTATTACAATTGTCTTCCTGGCACTTTTCATCGATTTGCTGGGATTTGCTCTCATCTTGCCACTGTTCCCTTCCATCCTTGATTATTACAGCCAGACTGAGGTAAGCAGCAGAGAAAGTCAGCCTGCTGAAAATATTAGGAATGGGATATTTAGGGAAGGATGGAAGAAAAATCCCTTGCTTAGGAGCAAACCCAATAGCCGTTAGGCACATTTAAATGGTTCTCAATTTGTTTGTGATCCTGCATGAGACTCTTCCATCTTGCTTTTTCATTAATATGAGGGATTTGTTTTGGGGAAAATTCAGGAGTTTCTTAGGAGCTAGTCTTTGTAATTACCAGTGCATGTCTGACCTACACTGATGTCACTGGTGAGACAGAGTAAATGACAATCCATAATGGATCTGCATACTGGAGTTTATATAAGACCCAAAGAGATGAGAGCTTTTACCCTGTTTGACTATTTCACCCACTCCCAGCATTATGATCTATTTCCCAGCAATATGTTTTGCAGGATGGATTCTATTTGTCATTACAACGTGGTGTGGACTGGTTTGCAGGGATGGTTGGGATGCCTCCAGAGCGGAAATACAACAGCGTCTTGTTTGGAGGTATGGAAATTAAAGAAACAAGCTAACAGACTGAAAAACAAAAAGAATGTGTGTTGTTTTCAAGTTATTTGCAGTGTTGATGTGAGGAATTATGAGCAAAAAGACAAGAAATACAAAAAGCATACTTGCCTTAGATTAGATTTAGATGTAAACAACACAGAAAATGTCTCTTACAGTAGGCTATGAATGATTTTGTTTTCATCACACTGATAGCAGTGAAGAGTTAGACAGCATTGTCTCTCTCACACTTAGACAGGCAGGAGGAATGGGCCAACGGGAACCTTATGAAATTCAGTAAGGACAACTGCAAAGTCCTGCTTCCGGGAATGAGTAGTCCCTTGCAAGAGATACAGACTGGACATTGAGTGGTGGGGAGCAGCTCTGCTGTAAAGGCCCTGGATGTCCTGGTGAGCAGCAAGCTGAGTGTGAGCCAACCCTGGCAGCAAAACCACCAGCAGCACCTGGGCTGTGTGAGCAGAAGCGGAGCCAGTAGATTGAGGGAAGCGATTGTCCCCGTCTGCTCAGCACTTATTAGACCACGTCTAGAGCACTGCATCCAGTTTTGCCCCTCCAGTACAAGACAGACATCCATAAACTGCAATGAGTTCAGCAGAGAGCCAGGAAGACAGAGGGTCTGGGCAACATGGGCTTGTTCAGCCTGGAGCTACTAATGCCTTTCCAGTACCTATGGGGAAGTTATCGAGCGGACAGTGAGGCATTTCACTGTGGTGCACGGTGGGAGAAGGAGAGGCAACAGGCATAAGTAGAAGCAAGGGAGGTTCTGTCTGGAAATAAGGAGGAAATTTTTCACAGTGAGGATGGCCAGTGGAACAGGTTGCCCAGAAAGGTTTTGTAGTCTCCATCCTCAGAGGTTGTCAAACCCTAACTGGATGAAACCCTGAACAGTCTGGTCTGACCTCGTAGCTGACCCTATGAGCAGCCGGTTGGAGTAGGTGACCTCCAGAGGTCCCTTTTAACCTGAATTATTCTGTGATCTTGCCCAATTTGTTCTATAGACTGCCACAGAAACACAGGCCTGCTGTTCCTTGTTGTCACACTGCCAGCTGAGGGTCAGGATCCTGCTGTGCTAGACCCTGCACAGTCACAGAAATTGCTCTCCTGTCGCAATTGATCTACACATGATTGGAGATCAATCAGTAGGAAACACTGGAATTAGAAGCTTGTGAGTTCAAGTCTCACCTCCCCGCTGGGCAGCTATAGTGCAGCGCTGCTTCTAAATCTCATTAGTCCTATTAAAAGCAGGAGAGCTGCTGACTTGCAGGGTCCAGAAGCATTTGCTGTCACTAGGACACTCTGGTACGGGTGAGCTCCAGCGGGAGTAGTGCAGGAAATCCGGCAGTCGTGTTACACATCGAAGGCTCTTTTGACTACTTGCCATCTAGAGAGTTATGAGGAAACTGGGATTTCAGAGCATGAAGATGTGAGGGTGTCTGGGTTAATTTTAATTGGAACTGTCTAGACACTCTCCTTTGAGTGAGCTGAGGTCTCCCCCAAGATAAGTAAAAGGCTTTTAAACTTAAAGAAAATAGACCACTGCAAAAAAAAACCCAAAAAACCAAACCAAACCAAAAAAACCAACAAAACTTTATTGGAGTATGTATGAATGTATCGTTACTATTTTAAGTTTTAAAGTAGGTTTTGGGGGTTTAACAGTCATTAGAAAGTTTATGAACAATTTTCTTCTTTCCTGCAATGTCCTTACAGGTGTGTTGTTTCTGTGCTCATTTTCAGTCAGATTACTGGCTTTGAATGGTAGGAAACAGTTTTCTTTAATCCTTCAGAAACTGCTTTCTGTCTCCTCCAAGGCCTGACTGCATGCCCCTTTCCTTGTTCCTTCTCTCTATCTCAAACTGTATTTAAACAAGGAACTGGGAGCTCACAGTCAAGTTGAACTTGTTGCCCTTCCTTTTACCTGCTGTGTCCTGTTCTCTTGGGAGTGCTGTATCCCTTGACTTGGCTCAGTTGCTTTCAAGGGGAAGGAGAAATCTCCCTGCTCCTTCCATAGGAGTCCAACTGACTCTTTTGTCCTGTGAAAAAAATGTAGCATCTAACTGGGAGCACGCAAGTAAAATAGACAGTGTTTGTCTCAGAAGGAAGCTGGTATCCCTTACTGTTTTCTCTCTGGGAGAAAAGTATTGAGATAAAAGTATTTAGAAGCAGTATTGAGTAGTGATGGGAATGTTCACTAACTACCTGGCAGCCGCAGGCAGTGAGGGTGCAGACAAGGTGGATGAATTACCCTGGTATTGGTCACATTTGACTCCATCTCTTCTGCTGGCTTTGATGACAGCGCTTCTTAATGAACCATCTGATTTGCTACACCAGCAGAAAACATTTGTTTTCTTTTCTTTTTTTCCCCGATTAGTTTTCTGTGAAATTGAGTTGGATCGGCTCACTGGAGAGTTGACCGAGGCTGCAGAAGCAGGGGAAGATGGACAAGCTTTCTTAGTTGTAGTCAGCTTCTGTCTCAGTCCATCTTGTCTGATGGCAGCTTAAATTGTTATAGTGGAAAGGTTCACGGTACTTGTGATGTTAAGCAGAGGCCAGGCAGCCTTCATTACTTTCATTTCCAACAAGGAGCATAGGATTGGAAAGCTACTTGCAAGATCATCTTGTTGCTTCTTTCAGTGCAGGATATATTCTGCTGTCTTCCATCTTTGCTTAAGACTGCAGTCTCTTCAGGGCAGAAACCTTCCCTGCCCTTGTTAAGGCCCTGAGGGCACCAGTACTTCCTTGCAGTGACCAGCCTTGACCCACACACTTTGTGCCCAGTGATTCAGGAGCTGTATTTCAGCTCAGAGCTGGCCTTGCCTGAAGTATATCATAAGTATAGCCTTATCTCCAGGGCTGTCTGGCCCCATCTCTTGGATGAACCTTGGGCCTACATTGCAGGTTTCTTATCTCCTGAATGAACCCACATCATGGTCTTGTTTCCACTCCTTTCTCTGACCCTGTCTCCTGCTGGTCTTGACCAGACTTCCTGGACAGACCTAATGTGTAACCCTTGCCTTGTCTGGACTGTCAATGGACCATGCTAGTGATACCCTGCTGCTCTGCCCGACCCGTCAGGATTGTGTGGGACTGCATCCTGGTTGGTGAGGGCACTGCCAGTGCTGTGGTCACACTCAGCTCCTGGCTCGTTCCACCAGCCCTGCTCTTGCTGCATCCTGGCTGTGAAGTTTGGCACTCTGGGTGTTTTTACAGTGCTAGAAATGGAAGGAAGAAAACTTGTCTCTAATTAACATAATCTGCCAGTGTACCAATCTATAAGATTTTTTTACACAGTTTTTTGAGCTTTTGAGCTATCACAAGCAGCTGTTCTCCCCAAGGTGTTCAGTATCAATATTCTGTCTTCCTCAAAGCTAATGGGAGCAGAACTTCTGGTCTCTCCTTAGCCTTTTCAGTCTTTGATAGCTGAACGATCTGAGATGTCTAACCCAGTTTTTCCTCTAGAGAAAAACTATGACAGCAAGCCATTTTTTTGCCTGCTTTTTGAGAGTGTAGTGCAAACTAATAAGTGTGTGAAGCTAGAAATGGCAAAAGAAAAGAGGAATTAAAGATCACAGAAGCTGGAGGCAGATTTCAAAAGACTCTCGGAGTCTGTTGGAATCGCTCCTACGTCTTAGGGTGCCTCACTAACAGCAATGCTTATTTCTTTCTTTCTATGATAAGAAGGAAAGAAAAGCTCATTATGTGTGACAGAATCAGGTTCAAACAGTCAAAAAAATCTTAAAAGAATTGTGACTATTACAGACTGCATTATCTCTGCTGTAAGAGCAGAAAATGTATGTAGTGAGCTGGGGAGGCATTGGAGAATCACCATTCCATTATAACCAGTGAGTTTCAAACCCCTTCTCAGCAGTGAAGTAACCAGTGAATCATCCAGTTTATGCCTGTTACTCTGGTCTGTCTGTGTATTTGGTCTTGTCTGTATTTGCCTCCTCAGTTAAATAACAATGCAAGATTGGTGTTTTGAGGGTGGCTTAGTTTCAAAGATAAAGCTGTTCTTCATAGCTGTTGTTTTGCATTTAGTTGCCTGCTCTTAAAGGACGTAATGGAGTGATAGGTCTGGAACAGGTTGGCTGTCTTTGTATTTACAATGAAGTCAGCAAGTCTAATGGTATGTGTTTGTTTTGTTTTTTTTTAGGTCTGATTGGCTCAGTCTTTTCCATCCTACAGTTTTTCTCCTCTCCCCTCACTGGTGCAGTGTCAGACTGCTTGGGCAGAAGGCCTGTCATCTTGATGACAGTGGTATGTGTCTCATACTGATTTTAGAAGTGCTGTCTCAATATGCAGTTGAAGGCACTGTGGTCTTGTGGTTAGCACAGAGGACTGGGAAATTGAACATTCTAGGTCTGTTGGTTGTTGACTGCTTCTTGCCAAGTCACTTGGCCACACTTCCAAATGCAAGTGCTTAAACTGAGCTTTGCAGATACAGAATTGTACATAGAAGGCACCAAAATACCTACATGTTTCTGGGATTTTCCCAAATCCCTTTCCCATATGTACAGAAGTATGACTTCAGTTGCTTTATTTGCAAATGTAGGCTTAATCCATGTATATTTTAATTCCCCAAGTGACTAAGGAGATCTGATCACTTCATGACCTATTTCACAGAGCCAGCAGATTGTTGGTTAGGAAGTGCTATATAGCACTATAAGATCTGTTTCTAATGATCAAGAATATTCTCCGAAACGTTTTCTCTGTTCCTGGTCTGGTGTTCTAATTACAGAAACAGTGCAGAGCAAGTGTGTACATACATGGAGGAACTTGGCAGCAAATTATATACAAATCCCTCTATCCTGTAGGCTTGTGGAGAGTCAATTAAACATGTGTACTTATGTTTGATTATGAAATTTAATGGCTAGAACTGTGAATTCTTATTTTGAAAACAGAATTTTCTTGAAGTTGGAAACAAGTGGAGCAGGATGTACAAAAATGGTTTTGTGCGCAGGACTGGTTTTGCTCCTTCTGAACTTTCTTTGCTCTTCTGATTTTATTAGTAATCTCACATCTATGTGAAGTTTACATGAATTTGTTTCTACTTCTTATATGTCACTGTCCAGAACATAGTGCAGGATCAGTGTGTTCAGACACTTCTGTTACATGGGTTTTGAGGCAGCTGTTGAAAACAAACAAAAAATGAAATGTTTAGCTGGGAAATATGCAGAAATTTTACCAACTCTGCTCTGCTTTATAAAGAACCCTTTCTTGCTTCTGCAGATAGGTTTGATAACATCATACGCACTATGGGCTGCCTCTAGGACTTTTGGCGTTTTTCTTCTCTCCAGGATCATAGGTGGAATAAGCAAAGGGAATGTCAGCCTCTCCACAGCTATAATTGCCGACTTGAACTCTGCAAAAGCACGGAGCAAGGGCATGGTGAGTTAGTTACACATGTGGGGATTTGCTGGGTAACATTTAATTGATTTCAGGTGCTCAGATTGCCTTCCTCAGGTGTGTATTCATTGATCAAGTGAAAACATGACTTTATATCCTACTATATTGCTTCTGAAAAGATGCCAGATCATTTTGCTGGTAAGCTCTCAGACTTTATTTGTTTGATGACTTTTACCTACAAGTGAAACATAATTATGCCCTGGAGGTGGAAAAAGTACCTGTTTAAGTGTTGCAACTCTTAATCCTACCAATAACTGTAGTCCTTGTTACAGTAGCTTAGAAATCAAAAGGTCTTATGGCCCAGTTTTGGTAGCTGGAACCCAGTTATAGGACAACCCATTTTTCTCACCTTCCCAAAGCGTGGGAGTGCAGCAGCACTGTGCAGCACAGTGTGCCTCCTCTTGGCCTTGGATGCTGCACTGGCTTCAAGACCTGAGCTCAGCAGGTAGAGGTTGTGACATTTGCCTGACTGAGCAGCAAGTAGTATGAACAGCTGCCCTGTCCTCTTCCAGAAGGCAGTGGACCAGATTTGGAGGATAGAACAAGGGGTAACAGCACCAAGCTGTGCCAAGGGAGGTTCAGGTTAGAGATAAGGAGGAAGTTCTTTACTGAGAGGGTTGTCAGAGGCTGGAACAGGCTGCCCAGGGAGGTGGTGGAGTCACCATCCCTGGATGTATTTAAAGAGCGGGTAGACAAGGTACTTAGGGATATGGTTTAGGGGGTAGACAGGAACGGTTGGACGTGATGATCTCGGAGGTCTTTTCCAACCGAGCGATTCTGTGATTCTGTGAAAATACCCTGCAGGCTGAACTTGGATCTGACTTCTTACCAGTTAGATCTTTTATCTTCTAAAAACCTTGGGGGCCCAGATTTCTATTAACAGATTGTTATAAGCCACTATGTGGGACAGCTGCTTCTTGGGAGGGAAAAGCTTTAGATTTCACAGTTATAGCTAATGAATTTTCCAAGCAATTTATTATAGTCCTGGTGAGCCAAAACATATTTTTATTTATGGAGAGGTATAACCATAAAGCACTGGTAAATAAAATGGGTCAGGGCCTTTTTTTAGGACTTGAGAGCAAGTCACGTAGTACAGCATGGCTCGCATTCATATGGCTATACTCTCCTTTTCCAAAGCAGAGTAGGCATGTTCGTTCTGCTTTATGGTAAGAGACTAGCATCTGACTGATGCTGTTCCCAGACTCTGACAGGGCATTGCCTGGGAGAATGCTGCCTGGGCAGGCTGAAATAACACTGGAGACTGTGGTGACACCTAAGTGTGCCCTGGTCTTATTTAGTATAGTACTACAGGTATAGTCAAATAGACCTTGGAAAGCAGGAGGATCGTGTCCTGCAAAGATAGGAGTATGCAGCTTTGAATATCTGTCAAAGGAAATAAGCCAGATTCTGCACTGTTGTTTTCTGAAACAATCTCACTGAGGCTGGTGACTCAAATCAGTGCTATCACATCCAGTGTGTACAGATTCTACCTTTTTCTTATGTGCTGGTTTCACGGTGAGTTAATAAATTTTCTTTAGTACCTGCACTAAATTTAGGTTGTTCTGGGAAGCCTCTTAGCCTGTGTGCTCTATGAGACATAAATTCCTAAATGTAGAAATTGCCAAAGCATTTTAGAAGCTATAGACATTATTACGAATTCCTACCATGGCGCTGTGCTCCCTTCTCCAGTTTTACACTACGAAAGTTTATTCTATGGCTGAAGGATCTGCTGGCTGAGCAGTCCCTGAGGTGAGAATCATGATTTCCCTCCCCAACTTCCTTTCACGCATAACCATGTTGCAGTTTGTTCCTGCCACTTTCCTGACTAGACAGAAAATCAAATCAGTTATTTGCAAATAACAGTTTTTTCACACTTAGTGCTTGTTGCTCTGCATTCCCTACATCCTCAGGGTGGTTACATTTCGTATCTGGTTGGATTTCTTTAAGGTAAATGCCAAGAAGTCCACATTGTTTTAGAACTGAGCTACCTGAACAAACTGGTATCTAAAACTACATGTCTGTGTTCATTGTATCACTCCAGGCAATGATTGGTGTTGCTTTCTCCCTTGGTTTTACCCTGGGTCCCATGATCGGAGCTTACCTAGCCGTGCAGACAGAGAAAGGAGAAGTCTTCTATCTTCGTTCAGCATTGCTGGCGCTCATGTTTGCTGTGGCTGATTTAATTTTCATCTTCTTCCTGCTTCCGGAGACACTTCCCAAAGAAAAACGGGTAAATAGACTATCAATATGAAGATCTGTGTTTCTTGCAAAAACAGGATTTGAGAACTGTTAAAAGATTGGAAACAATGAAGAAAGTGCTGAGCCAGTTTATCAGGAATTTAGCTCATTCCTGAGACTAGGATTTCATATTATTATTTAGGCTGGTGTCAAAGTGGTTGCGTGATGGGCCCATCTCCTAGCCCAGTGTAGTGTGATAAAGTCTTTATAGCTATCATGTCTACTTAATTGCTGATTTTGGTGTGTTGGGTTTACATTTCTGAAAAGCTAATGGGAGCCTATGAGGAAGAGGGTAAATTTTAAACTGTGATCGCAGTTACGCCCTGGGGATGAATTTCAGCTAATCATAAGAGTAAATGCATCAGAGACTGGATTTTCGTTCATTTAGCCAGTATATGTTAGCAGCTTTTTTAACTATTATCTTGTCTTTGCTTGACTATTTTGAACATTCAAATAGCAAATGGCTGTTATCTCTGAGCTGTGCTCTTTTCCACTTATACAAAATATCTACATGTGCTAAAATTCAGTGACTGTTTGGATTTGTGGGGCCAAACGTTTAAGAACATTAAGATTTAATATTATGTGATCAGATGCTGCCCAAGATATGTCTGTTGGAGCAGCCTCCTTTGGTAGTGTGGGAGGGACTGAGTTCAGCCCTAGGTGAAGTGCTTGGATTGAGGCCTTCAGCTGGACTGGATCTTTCCTGTCATCCCTTGTTTCTAAGCAGCACGAAGCCGTTGAAGCGTGCTTGGTCTCTGGATACCAAACCCACGTGACACTGAGAATTGTTCAGGAAACTTTTGTCTGCAATGCTCCTGCCGGGGCAAAACTTTAGACTTTTCTGGACCTGTAATCTATACACAATTCTACCTTTGCTGTAGAGGGATAAATGGCTTCAGCACCTTTTAGGACTGTACAATGACTGAATATCTCCCTCCCCCTTTTATAAACATCTTGAGACTACTTCTGATAAGCTGGTCTGTGTTGACCAACATGACTGAATTTTGATAAGAAAATGAGTGCTCTGTCCCTGCTTTTTGGGGGTCTGTCTCTGTGCAGCAGTGGGTATTGTGTGAGGTGGATTAATAGGTGCCTCTTGGGGTCAGGTGCCAGTCATGCAAAGTACACAGGGTATTTGATTGCTTATGAGAGAGTCTGGCACTGGAGCTTCTTGTGATCGGTATCAGTGTTAGCGCTTTTGTGCTGTCTCCTTTCAGCCTGCATCTGGGCAGTGGCCCCATGTGATTTATATGTTCCTAGGGTAGTTGTAATTTCACTTATTAGGCTGCTCTGCGCTTTTCTTGGGTAATTCCTCATGCTTTCTGAGTGGGAGTGGAGCAGTTTTCTTGGCCCCTGGATGAAGAGGAAGGACAGGTATGTTGGCTGCCTTTCAGGAACTTGGCTGGGCCGAGCTCCAGCAGGTGCTACTGGAGTATAGGAGTGGATGCATTGTAAGGACAAAGCTGTAAAAAGAGGGGAAATGGTAATGATAACCAGTAGGAGGATGTGCCAGTGGGATCAGACATCTGTTTCCTTTAAATATGCTGTGTTCTCATGATATCCTTGTTTCTCTATGTCCTCTTTGTCACAGGAGAGAAGTACTTCACATTCATTTATGTTGCAATTAACTTGTAGAAAGGGAAACCTGGAGGGGGATGGGGAACAAGAATGAGTTTTAATCAAAAGAAACAGAATTTTTGCTAGCCTTCTTTCCCCTTTTTCAACTGTTCCACAAGTTCATTCAGCTGAAGACTGACCAAAGAACTGTACCTTTCACCTGTCAGAGACACTGGTCTTACGCGAGATGGCCAAAACAGCTCCTGCGTTGACCTGCGTGGGAGAAGAGAGGAATAGGAAAGTCTCCAGTGGAATCTGTCCCCTTTAAGAGCTTTTGAGTTAATTTGTAGCTAAGCTGGTCCTGGGCAAGGCTGCACAGGTGGAAGGCGGGTCTTACAACTTTTTTTTCTGGCATCCTGCTAATCGTGTAAGGACTGTGTAGGGCTGTGCAGCGTCGCCAGCAGACTTACAGAAAAATGAGGTTTTTGCTGTGTGCATACTAAACAGTGTCTGATTTGAAGGGTGTGGCTGGAGCTTGGAAGGCCCAGGCTCCATTCCTGATTTGGACTGTCTCTGTGCCTTCAAGATGTGTTACTCATTCTGTCTGTGTTAGAGGAAAACAGAGTAAACAAAGACACTGTGAAAGATATCTACCATTCAAGGTGACTTTTGGGGTGATCATGAAGTAAAATAGAGCAATTTTGGAATAATACATCACAAGCACAGAAATGAAATACAAGTCAGATGTTGCAGATTTTGAACCTGAGAAGAATCCAAACTCCATGCAGCTGGTGACATTGACTGAAATTGGCAGTGTATGCGTTGTCTTCTGGGAGTGGTGAGACACTTTTGTCAGCTTTAGGACAGTGATTTCGTTATCAATCAGCGGATGAAGTAACTTCTAGATTCTAGGGCAAAGATAGTAGAAATTAAAAGAAATTTACATGCACTCACACATGTATGAAAAAAAATCTTATACATACATGTCCATTTCATCAAACCCTTAACATTTTAAACATATACATACATAATGTATATCCTCCAGAACAAACTAAAATCAGCCTTGTAGTACAAAGCAGCTTGGCACCGTGTCTGACATGGATAATAATTCAAATCAGGTACAGACTGCAGGTTTTTTTATTACTGGCAAACATGCTTGAAGAGAGCTGCTTGTTACCAGATTCTCTATGCTGCCGTACAAACACCATCATGCCAACAAATGCAGGAACTGAAGATTGCTGCAAGCCAGCTTCAGGAAATCCTCTTACAGACCTCTTAAAAGCATGAGGAAACTTCTTCTTGGGAGTGTCTGTTTACTCTCTGCAATATGTGCAGCAGAAAGGGAGATCAATATCCCAGTTTGTTCTGTGTGAATCAGCAGCTTTATGGCTGTATACAAAACCAGGCTGGTATATTGAACTGGTTGCTGTTGCGAGACTAATGGGCTCCAGAGCTCTGACTATCAAAACAAGGCAGGGGTCATGTTAATACCATATTCAAGGTTGATGGGTTTACAGCTTTATTAAATCCAGTCCATATGAGTCCTCAGGTCATGCACTGAGATTAAGTTCCACTGATAATTTGACCTTTAATCTCTGCCCTGAAGGGGATAATAGCTCCCTCCCTCTCTAACTGGGAGGAGGTGGAATCTGATCAGATAAAGTCTGTGCAATGCTTTGAAGATATGAAATATTAAGTGTGATTTTTTGAGTATGTCTTATCTCTTCCTGTGACTGTCATGTAAAGTGACAGTCTAAATTCTCCTACTTTAAAAGGAATTGTTTTCTTAAGAATTTAGACACTGCGTCTACTGTAGTATTTTCTTTAATTTTCTATACCTTTGAATAAAAAATAAATTAAAAAATTCAGTTCCCTATAGATTAAAGAATAAGCATCTCCTAAACTGCAGTTGATAAAGAACAGGGAGAACGCCACCAGATGCATAATAAGGTTGAGATGTACAGAGTACAGGCACCAGAAATGCTACAAAATAAATATTCCTCTGCAAAAAACCACACGATGTGGCTGGGCAGAATGTCTCTAGAAATGTCTCTCAAATCTCCCCAGAGAATCTCTCTGAAAATTATATTTTCCTTTTCTTCCCCAGGAGGTGTCACTGGCTGTCTGAAAGAACAGCCAGTACCAGAGCAGACCGTTATTTGGTGTGCTGTGCATACTGATCTCAGACCTGTAGTACACAAGCAAATCCCCAGCTCCCCATGAGCTTGCAGGCAGATGTGCCATTATTTTCTCAGTAAATGTTCATTGGACGTGAGGGATGATGCAAAAAGTGAACCAAATAAAGCCACCTTCAAGGCTGTGGAGAATGAGCCTCTTCTGCTTTTTAAGAACCCGGAGAGAATCTGTTTTCTGTCCTCAGTGAAAGCTCCTGTCAGTGCTCTACCTTCTGGTTACCTTCTGGAGCCAGATTTGTGATCAGAAAGTCAGTGGCATGTTTCTGGTACTCACCAAACCCCAATGCCAGTTACCTTGTTTCATCTCGGATAATTTGTGTAGGTGCAGAAGCACGTTTGTCTGTTACTGTCAATTCCTTGCAGTAGTTATTACATCAGGTTTTAAATAAACCTCTCTTTGATCAGGTCTCTTCTGTGACGTCTGGGTTTCAGGCAGCAGTTGACTTGCTCAGTCCTTTGGCTTTATTTCAGTTCTCTGCAGTCACTCGAGGAAAGGAATCCCCTTCAGAGAAGAGTAAGTGTTACATGGCTTTTTATATTAATATTGCTTGTCTTTTTGTATACAGAGGTGCTTTCTAAGTAAAAACTTTACTCAAACCATTCCAGAAGCAGCACTCTGTTCACTCATTTAAAACCCACTTTACTAACTTAGGGACAGGGAATTGCAAGTTCCCTTGGATGCTGGCCCTCCTATTCCCAAAAGAAGGTTTTAGAGATTAGTCTTTGAAGATTTCTGACTTGCTTTTTCTTCAGGCACTGGCTGCAGCATGGGGTATGCTGCAGTAGGTGAAGTGATTTTAAAAGATAGATCAAGGCATAAGTAAGGGAGATGTGAGTTTGCTTATCCAAACTGCAAGCCAGGAAACTTCAATCTGGAATTTTATTTCTCAGTTTAAACCTTGGAGATGTTGGATTTGAGCTGGCCGTTTCTCTGTGTGAACTTACTTTATGCTATAGAAAAGAAATCGGTGTTTGCTAGGTCTACCAACTTTTCATTCAGTCCTCCTTGCTGCAGCATCAGGAACAGAGTAATATTTCCCCCTTCAGAGAAAACCTGTTAAACCCTGCGTTGGCAGAAAACCAAGTAAGGTTTTCTGTCACAGACCATTTGTAGCTTGGAAAAAGGGATCCTATGCTTCAGCCAGTATCGTCCTGAGATGGCATCAAGGTATCAAGTGGAATGCAGGTATTGATTAAAAATAAAGAAAGAAATCCCAGTGTGGGTGGGAGTGTCAGAGTGAGGCAGAGGGCCTGGATTGGGTGAGCGAGGCCAGGGTGACCCAGAGAGAGGTGAGTCTTTTTGGCTCTCTTCCCCTCCTAAGAAGGAAGGTAGTGGGCAGAAGTCGTTCTGTGGCATGTCTTGCATGGACATTTAAAATGAGTGTCCGAGGTGAGAACTTTTCCCTGTTCAGTTGATAAATGTTGCTCTACTGTTGTTGTTACATTCTCAAACTATGCTTGAAAAACACCACTGTATTTCTCTTTTTTTTTCCCCTTGGTGTGTGTTTGTTTGGTTTTTGTTTGTTTAGATCGTCAGAATCTCAAAGTCTTGGGCCTGGCTTATTTCCTGTACCTCTTCCTGTTTTCCGGCTTGGAGTATACACTGAGTTTTCTCACTCACCAGAGATTCCAGTTTAGCAGGGATAGCACACTTAGAAGGTAAATGTTGTGTACTTTGGGATATTTTCCAAAATCTTGATTTAAGGTCTCTTCATTTATTTTCAAGAGAGGCTTTCTGAGCTTAGTAAAAACACTTAGAAAGCAACCACTGTGTGCAGTGATACTTGGGCTTTGTCGGAAGAATTTATGAACATACATGCACCCTGTCCATCATGAAAGGGAATATTCATTGAATCTACAACTTCTAAGAACTAGAGAAAAATCAGTACACAAGATTAAATTAAAGCTATGAAACATATAGCTTGGCTAGTTGTATTGATGATAATAAAAACTTTTCTCTTCTAGCCCAGATGCTCTTCTTCAGTATCAGGACAAATCTTGAAGCTCAGAGAAGGCAGAGGATGGAGGGAGAGCTGTTGATTATATTTGCTTGTCAGAGCTCTGCATCGCATACGGTGTACAGTCATTACATCAGAGCGTTTGATTTCCTCTAGTCCAACGCTAGAGAAGAAAGAGAACAGAATCCACTGACAGCAGCTCAGCTTGAAATACTTTTCCTGCTGGCTCATAGGAAGGTTTCCAGCCAGGAACGTGATCTTGCAGCTTGATTCTTTATGTGTGTCCTTCCCTTTAAGTAATTCTCAAGGGTTTGCCTCATCTTTCCCTGTCTGTCTTTCATTACAGTTTGTGGCTTTACTAACGTGTGTGCTGCAAGGAAAGGTTTTCTTGCTTTGAGATTGCTTCTGCACAGCCCTTTCAGGATAGCCATGTAGTGAGGTACACAGCTTTATGCCGACAGTACAGGCTGTGTGACAAACAGACTTGTTATGGAGGTGAGACCTTTTAGTTGAAGTATCCACATAGCTTAGTAGATCAGAGAGGTGAAAGGGAAATTCAAATAAATATTTAAGGTGGCGGGAGTGATGTTGCAAGCTTCCTGGTGCAGTATGTGATCACCACCATGCCAGTGCCCGTGTTGTGCCTTGGTGACCTTAATCAAACTCTGCATGACTGGTGGCAGTGGTTGTGAGAAAGCAAAACACTTGTTCCGTGGAAACCAACAACTCCTGTGCACATGGCACAGACTTCCATGGCACAAGGTAATGAATGTGTTGACTCTTCATGGTCACCCTAGAAACAACTGAACTAGACCACAGCGGTCTAGAGATGGTGGTGGCATTTGCCAGCAGCTGTCTCATCTCCCTGTAAGATCTCGGAGGTTTATCTTCTTGCTGTCTGCCTGCCACGGAAACTTATGCCGGAGTATTAAGAACTTTGCATCACTCTTGTGAGCACCAAAAAGCATTTTCTCTCTCTGGTTCAGGAAAGGGTCTGGACTGAACCTGTGAATCCCAGGATGGAATACTCTGTGCGTGACCATCATCTGTGTTTTTTGCCTCCCTTCTAGCATGCAGCAGGGCAAGATGTTTTTCTTTATTGGAATAACAATGGCCGTGATCCAGGGAGGCTATGCTCGCCGAATCAAGCCAGGAAATGAAATCAGAGCTGTAAAAAGGGTAAAAAAATACATTTTTTCTTTTTCTTTCCCGCCTCAAATCTGGTATCTTAATTTTCAATCTGAAGTGTAATGCGAGTCCTGTTTAACATCTTTATCAATGATCTGCATGAGGGGATTGAGTGGTCCCTCAGCAAGTTTGCAGATGACACTAAGTTGAGAGGGAGTGTTGATCTGCCTGAGGGTAGGAAGGCTCTGCGGAGGGACCTGGATAGGCTGGATCAATGGGCTGAGGCCAACTGTATGAGCTTCAACAAGGCCAAGTGCCGGGTCCTGCACTTCAGTCGCAGTAACCCCATGCAGCGCTACAGGCTTGGGGACGAGTGGCTGGAAAGCTGCCATGCAGAAAAGGACCTGGGGGTGTTGGTGGACAGCAGGATGACCATGAGCCAGCAATGTGTCCTTGTGGGCAAGAAGGCCAATGGCATCCTGGGGTGTATCAGAAGGGAGTGGTTGTAGGTCGAGAGAGGTTCTCCTTCCCCTCTACTCTGCCCTGGTGAGACCGCATCTGGAATATTGTGTTCAGTTCTGGGCTCCTCAGTTCAAGTAGGACAGGGAATGGCTTGAAAGAGTCCAGCGCAGAGCCACAAAGATGATGGACGGAGTGGAGCATCTCTCTGATGAGGACCGGCTGAGGGAGCTGGGTCTCTTTAGCTTGGAGAAGAGGAGACTGAGGGGTGACCTCATTCACGTTTACGAATTTGTAAAGGACGAGTGTCAGGAGGAAGGAGCCAGGCTCTTCTCAGTGATAGCCAATGACAGGACAAGGGGCAGTGGGAGCAAGCTGGAGCAAGAAACAACGAGAACAACAAGGAAAAGCTTTTTCACTGTGAGGGTGCCAGAGTGTGGCCCAGGCTGCCCAGAGAGGTTGTGGAGTCTCCTTCTCTGGAGACATTCAAAACCCGCCTGGACGCATTCCTGTGTGACCTGGTCTGGGTGATCCTGCTCTGGCAGGGGGGTTGGACTGGATGATCTTTCAAGGTCCCTTCCAGCTCCTGAGATTCTGTGATTCTGTGAAAGATGTTGGAGGCTATAACCGTACTTGTCAAATCAAAAGAAATTTCTATTTCGTTACTCCAGCTAAATGACTTCTCAAGACCCTGGTTGTTGGGCACTCATCAGTCTAACTAAACTTTGGAACATTAGAGCAATTTCTTACCATATCAGCTACAATGTTATTGAAAATTTGAGTTCTTCATATATAACTGCAGTAGGGAATGAGAACAGAGTGCAAGTTAGGTAAAGTGCTGTGAAGAGTATGCCTTGTTTCAGTGATTTCTCTTGCAGTGCAGACATTGGAACTACTAAAGCTGCTTCAGAGCTGATCTCTGACTCTTTCTGGCAAATTATTTTTAGGAACATCATCAATCCAGCCATCATTATGCTTGACAAGCCTTCCCTAGAGTATATTTCACTGGTGGGCAGGGGCAAATAGATTCTTCCTCCAATCTTTGGTTTGTGATCATTGGTATTACATGTAACAGTAGCATGTACCAGTGTTCAGACCAAAGCTTTGCTGGCAGAAGTGTGCATTTCTTTGTTTTGCTTGCCTCTTTGTCATAGATGCTGCTGCTGCTGCTGTACTGGGCTGGCAAGGAACAGTTCCCTGCAGCTCATACAGCTGTGGGACAAGTAGATTATGTCTTGTCATTTACATTTGCACGTGGAACTGAACAAAGCAGGTTTCGAAGGTTTCTGAACTTTTCTTGGCTGCTTGGCAATAGGTATGATCGGACTGTTAAAGCCTCCATCAGTCTATTATACATTATTTTGAGGCCGCTGTGATTTCAAGGGTGGCAGGGTAAAAAAGATTCCCAAACTGCACTGCATTCCAGTGAATTGACTCAGCTTTATTCTTACAGCTATTTCTGCTGGTGAAACCACCTCCACCCTGCTCCCTGGCAGGCAAAAGTTGGTTGTGTCATACAGAAAGCAGTGAAAACTCACACTGCTGTGTTAGTGTCGCTTTATCCCCTGCATCAGCCTCCTCCACGTGCTCTGCCAGCCTGCAGTGTTTGCTGTTGCTGCATTGCAGGATGTGCAGACTGTGCTTTGCCCCACTAATTCTTACACTCCTTCCTCTTTCTGGCACTGAGTGCAGTGACGCAAAGAACTCACTGGGTCGAGTTGGTGTGGGCTGGTCACTGCTCACAAACACCCGTGTGCGCTGTGCAGAAACTTGCTGGCCCCAGGGCGCTCATTCTGTGGCTTGAGTGGCTTTTGTGGGAGCTTCCCCTTTCACTGAAGTTACTCTGGCAGTTTGTTGGTGAATCTGTGGCCTCTCAGCACAGTGGTTACAGGAGCTCATTTATAACTGAACCTTCAAAATGAGCTGTTTGACGGGAGTGAATGCCCTCTTTTGTGAAACACGCAGCAGATCTTAACTGATCTGTCATTTCTGCAGAAGCTCTGTATGGTCAGGAGAGATCGCAGGGCAACTGATGTCCAGGCCCTTGGAGGAGATGAGGAAGGTTTCTTCCTTTGGAGTTTGAATTTCAGATGCCAGCCCCCCCATATTTTTCCTTCTTAGCTCCAGAAATAAGGGTTTGATGTAGTCCTTAAAATCAGGCACTACTGCTGAGAGCAAGCAGAGGAGCTGTAGTCCTGTTGCACACAAGCTTTATGGTCTCTTGTGCCAGCTGAGGACATGAGGAGTTTAAGCTAGATTTCTGTCCAGTTCAACACAGAACAAGAGCAAAAGGCCACCAAAACCCAGTAGATTGTGTGAGAGAGCGAGCTCTGCGGAAATCCATTTTTCCTCAGCTGTGGGAAATGGCTGATGGGATAAGGCCAGCAGCTTGTGTTACAGCTGACTCCAGCCTGCAGGTGGTCTGCAAGCCTGTGACAGAGAGAGAACAGGAAAATAACTTGTGCTGATGTGTGGCCATCCAGGTGGATTTGAACTGTGCTTGGGAAGAAAGGGCTTCCAGCGTCTCACTTCAGTGTAGTCCCATCGGTGGAAGGGAACTGGCAGGACACCTCGAATTAGGCTTTAACAAGTCAGGCTTGAATGTAACCGTGTGACTCATTCATTTTGCAGGCTATTATGTTGCTGATTCCAGCTTTCTTCCTAATTGGATGGGCTGCAAATGTGACCATGCTGAGCGTTGGACTGTTGCTGTACTCTTTTGGTGAGCTATTCAAAAATGCACTGAAAGCTAAGCACAAATAATTTTTCTTCATATATTTATTCACCCCACTTTAAAAGATGCATTTCTAATTTCAATCTGTAAGTAACAGAAAGTTGACATTTCTGTTTATGAAGTATGGAAGAAATAGTGTCTGGGTTTTTTCCGGTGCTGTTTGTATCACAGGAAGTTGCTGTGGTGATATTTGGAAGCATCCCTGGTGCTCCTCTTGTCTTCTCCCACTGGGGAGCTCTCGAGAGTGGGGGGGTTTTTCCCCCACCTCCCATCTGACCTAGCAGCAAAATATTCACTGAATAGCCCAGCTCGGGAAAAGAAGGGAGGCAGCAGGTCTTTGTATTGCTGTGGTGGCTGCATAATTTCTTAGGCAACAGGCTGAGGAGAGCTGCACGCTCCGAAGGCTGAGCCAGAGGTGAGGGGAAATCAGCGATTCCAGGGCTATGTGGGCTGGGCACCACTCTGCTCCCCTGCACTGCAAGCTGCTGGCTCAGGGAGGGAGCAGAGCTGCACCCATTGCTTTTGGTAAGTGCAGATGGCTTTCAAAGATGTTTAAGTAAGTGTCTACCTAAATAATACTCTGTCAGTTTAAGCTGTTATTCAGGGAAACAACTATGAATAAAGTTGGATTCATCTACTGAAGTGCCTGCCTGAGAAGAGAGTTCAGCTATTCCCAATGCTGCTAACTATTGTTAAGAAGCTTCAAATATGACTAATTATGAAAGTAGGAGACTTCTCTTTTGCATGATACAGGTTGATTTAAAAGTGAACTGTGAACCACAGAATGCATCTCTTTAGTAGCTTGCTTGTATAGGGACAGCTGTGCATTTGACAGTTTCAAAATCTACATCTGAGCTACAGATTAACCTGGTTTTGAAAGCCCACTCGGTGAGGAGGGGTGAGAGGAGGTGTTAATTTTGTCTAACTGACCTTCTAAGGTATGAGCCTCATCTTCCTGGGCTCCAGACGTGTGCAGAAGACCCCAGTTAAGCCAGCTAGAAATGCCTTTGGAGTGCCCTCTTTTCCCCCCCTTTTCCTCCCTTTGCCCCAGGATTTAGGGGGCCTGCAGTTAAGGGAAGGTGTCTGTCATT